CCCCAGCTGCTGACAGAAAGGAGAACATGTGTCAAGAATGATCACTTCCTATGAAAAAAGGTGAGTAATATGAGCAACAAAGTTATGAAATGAATACATCAAATTATTATTTGATGTATTCTGTTTCACTAGCACTCACCTGACCGTACATCAATAGCAACACAGCTTAATGAAAGTGCACTTAATGGAAGATATCATCAACAGTCAATTTAAAGACGGACATGTTGTTAAACTAATGTAGTTACTTATTAAGGATTACCAATTTGACAGGTGCTGCACCGATTTAATCGTGACTTTTAACACAACTAACATGTTTATTTAGAATTTAAGATATTGTACTTGAGTAAAAGTAGAAGTACTCAAATGTTGTACTTGAGTAAAAGTAGAAGTACTCAGATCTTGTACTTGAGTAAAAGTATTAGTACCAGAGTGTATGAATACTCTTACATTTAGGAGTTGATTGTAATTCACATCATTAATCCAAATCTGTAAAGTAACTAAAGGTATTAAATACATGTAGTGGAGTACAAGTACACCATTTACCTCTGAACTGTAGTGTAGTAGAAGTACACAGTAGCATAACATGGAAATACTCAAGTAAAGTACAAGTAGCCTACCTCAAAATTGTACTTAAGTAAATGTGCTTAGCTACTTTAAACCACTGCATAAGTAGGCATGCACATGTTATTAATACAATAATTGTGTTGCATCAGCTATTAACCTTCACACATTAAGGCAGCTTGTTTAATTTCTTAATGGCTATACACATGTAACTAACTAACTGACTAATTAACTAACTGACACACAACACTAGTTAGCTCAGGACCTAGCATGATACCTAGCTTGCAATTAGGTTAATTACACTTAGCTAGCATCTAAATATGCTGTAAATCTAATAAAGTGAATAAAGCTAACCCCAGCGAAAGTAAACACCCGTTAATTCTGTTATATTACCTGTCTATCTCGGGAATTCCCGGGTAGAAATGGTAATGCCATGGCGGTATTTTGTAAAACCGTCTGATTATCTGCCGTTCATTTAAAAAACAAACCGTTTGTTATGGTTGCCATGGAAGCGTTCTGTTTGGGAGCGTCTCCTAGCAACGTTTAGACCGGCAAACTATTGTTGATTATTGTTTTTTGTTTATGTTTTTACATTAATGAGGTTTAACATAGGAAACAATAACAGAGACTTTGTACACACCAAGGCACAACTACGGGTCAAATATTAGCATGTTTTAGTACAAGCAAAAATGTAACGTTGTCTCAAAAATACACAGAAAACTATTTAATTGTTTGTCTTTTCACTGAATCTACTAACCCTGTAGCTGGATTCATTCAAATACTAAAATACATTATATTTCGTTTCATTAACGTTTTGTATCCAAAGCGACCAACTAGAAGTGCAATAAACCACGAATCCTAAAAGTATAAAACTTCAAATAAATAGGCTACATTATTATTATTCTCTACTCTGTTGCTGTATTATAAATTATATTATTTGTCAAGGTGAAGAATTACAGTGTAATTGCAGTAAATACACATTTGAGTAACCTATCTGCCTGCCTTGTTTTTCCATTTCATTCTTTCTACTGTAGCCTACTTCATTTTGGAGGCTAATACCGTTTGTTTTTTTATTCCACTGAATGTATTTCCTTTACAATTATATAGTCACTTTACCTTTACATACATTTCCATATGCAGCTTGAAGAGGGGTATTTTTTGTATATTGTGGTATTTGTAATTAAGTAAAGAAGCCAAGTAATGAGACAACAAATGAAAGGCAACACATTGACCAGAAATTAAAACCTGTTTGATTAGTTTTGCATTCAAAAGCCTAACAAGGATTCATGCCTTACCATATAATAGGTAGTAGTACACATAGTTTAATGCTGTCTTTAATTATAGGCTCATGCTGCAAGTGGAAGTAAAGGCAAACTTAGATACTAAACACAAAGCATGACTGAAGACAACCAAGATTCAAGGTCAAGAGGGAAAAGCAATTCATTTACATCTTTTATCATAAAATAAACGCAAAAGATTTCAAGTGCTTTTATTACTTTTATTTGTTCATCAAACGTACATTGTAGACAAACCACAGCTTTCAGTACTTAAAGCTTCAATGTATTGCTAAACAAAATACATAGAAAAGGAGATGCAGGTGAGGCTGACATTAACACCTATCCAACATGTCCTGCAGCACCTTTCAAAAAGATACTTCTCTCAAACCCATCAGCAGCACTCTAACCCCGGAGGAGGTGATTGATTACCATGGAGTTCAAAATATAACCTAAAGGCACCACCTGCCACCTGAAGGTGCATTTAATTATACTTCATTACGCTGCATGTGCTTGGCTTTATGAGTGCAACAAGGCAGCGAAAATGATATACTCTTTCTTTTAGGAACAAGTTTGTCAAGCTAAATAAATAAAAACAATTCTAATGGCTGTTCCCCTTAGAAAACAACATGTTGCATGATATGCATCATTATTTGGCCTGGGGAGCGGAGCGTTTTAAGAGGGTCTGTCAAAGAAGTCCCACATTATATATCGACCATGCTTTAACAGTATTAAAGGAGACAAAAAGGAGGTGCAGCGTATGTAGAAACACAGCTACAAGCTAATCTGAAGTAGGTTGCTTGCTGTGGAAACTCTTTAAAACCTTCCAGCAATGATTGATAAAGTTTCCCTCAAGTTGTTCCACGACATCGAGGGAGCACCGACTCTTCTTCTTTGGAGGAAACTAAGACACCATGCCGAGCAGGAAGCCTCCGGCGAATCCGCTGGTGACTACAATGTTCTTCTTCACGAACGCTCTGGACTGGAACACACAGAAAACACGTTTCAGTTTAAAGGGAATCCATTCCAGACAGACGCTAAATGCAATACAGCGGAAACAGCCTTTGCATTAAGATGATATCATGGCTGCAACTGCTGATTAGGTTCATATGGTGATGGTGAAACATACACAAATCACCATCACTACTTCACAGAGTAACAGCAGTGTCTTCAAATCTCTTGTTTTGGTTCACCAACAGTCCAAACACAGAAATATGTAGTTTTAAAATGAGATATGACAAAGGCAGAGAATCCTCTCATTTGGGAGAATCAAAGAATATTGGATTTCTTTTCACTTTCTCAGCTTGTACATGCAAGGAAATATATATGGATAAATGATTTCAGCTCTACATAAACTCAACAGTGTAAAAAGTAGGAAAACAATGCAACATTATTAAAATAACAGTGAAGGAGTGAAACATAAAACCAGTTAAACGTCTGGTATTTAAGGCCACCAGGACGTCCCATTTCTATTCTATATTCTTCAAATCGGACTTAAATAATAATAATATCATATTGTATTTATATTGCCCTTTTCTACAACCTCAAAGGCACTTTACAAAAACACGCCATACAATCCTATATAGAGGACAGTGACGTGAATACAGAGAAGAACAGAAGGCAGTGAGAACTGGTAGATTTATCACACACAAATGTCACCTTCTCAACGAACGTGTTTAACTCTGGGCGGGCCTGGTCGGTGCCTTTCTTTAACTGCTTCTTAGCTTTGTTGACGTCCTTCTCTACTCTCTTCCAGTCCACCTGGATGTAGCCGCTATTGTTAGCAATCTGGAGAAAGAGAAGACAGATAAGAAAGCAACGATGAGAGGATGATTTACGATGTTTATTATTCTGTAGACTAGTTGTGAATGAGTACCTGTAACAGCAGAAGACCTCCTCCTACAGACGTAGCTGCTAATTTCCCCACCTTCGAGAAGAGATACCCTGCACACCTTGAATTAATCCAGACACAGCATGAAGGTTAATAAGCAATGACTTTAACACTCATTCTGTATTAACCATGCGTCAGACCGACATGCAACCCGTCATTGTTTACATTTCAGATTTAGACCTAATTGTCATTGTTATATTAACCTCTTTATTCCAACTTGGTGTTTCTGCTGCAGAATAAATCACATGTTATCTAGCTTTAATGACACTTCAAGTCATTCCATTTGTTGTTCATCTGAAAATCTTCTGCGTCATTTTCTATTTTGTTTATAATAAAACAGACAAATACTAAGCTGTTATTTATCATAACAGTCGTGTGTACACTGTTAACAAAAACATGCTGACTCCCTACTGTGGCTGTAACCAAACCACTGTCACTTTACGCTTCCCATCTATGCCCCAATACAGGTTCATCTTAGCCCTTAGAAAACTAGGTTGTTGCCTAATTATATCCCAGCTAACTGTTTTTAAATCACTTCATAGTCTAATGGGTACATTTGTGTGGAAATCTAAACGCCCAAGACTTAAACTGGAGAAATTGCAACTACCGTTAGATGAAGGGGGATTAGCACTTCCAAACATGATGTTTTATCACGCGTCACAACTTAAATATACTATAGAATGGTTAAAAAAAAGGATCCTAAATCTACATTTCTTGACTTGGAAAATATAGTGTATTGTTAGAAATACTCTTAAAACATGGAATCAGGTACAGTCGTTGTTTGTTGTTATTGTTTTGTGGGTTTTATTATGTTGTGTTGTCCCTAATGTTTCTTCTTGTATTGTCTCACCTGAAAAGACAAATATATATATTGAAACAAATTAAATAAAACTAGGTGGTAGAGTTAACTTGGAGCCCCTGAAGGCAGCACAATGCATTTCCTACGAGAGTACTCACCATCCGCTCACTCCTCCGATGGCTAACTGTGTGGCCACGGAGTATTTCTCTGCTACGGGGCCGGAGTTCTTCCCAAAAAGTCCGTTCCACCATCGCTGGCGTTTGGCATATTCTGTCAGGTCCACCACCTTGTCGTAAATCTCCTCCTCCAGCTCTGCACGTACATGGAACAGAACATAAACAGTCAGCAGCAAATCAATTCAGGATTTAAAGGCTTTATTGTAATTTGCCCAACAGGCACAGTGTAGTTTGAGCAATGAAAATGGTAGTCTTAGGCATCAATGGAATATACTTTATACCATCGCCACTTTTTAATTGGGTCGACTCTAGCGCATAGTGCGTATTTAGAGAGTCTGAAAAAAACGAAAAAAGTGGCGACAGATAACCCACAAGCTGTGGCCCACCCACATACACGTCTGGCCCACACACAGCCAATCAGCACGTCATAGCGATGTTGACATTCCTGACAAGTGGCAAACTCTGGGGCAGAGCCGGGAAGCCTAGAAGGAAGTGCCACAAACTGCATTTCCTCTAGTGGCCGACAGGGGGTGGATGCAGAAAGGAGCAATGTCCACAGACCCCCCAACTTTACAGCAGAAATAAACATGTTTCTAGCCTGGCTGGATCCAATCAAACTTATTCTGGATATAGTTAGATTCCACCTTCATGACAATGGAATAGGGAGTGCATTTTTTTACCGTAAAGTAAGTTTTGCCGCGAGTGAATGAAAGTCTTATTTCTTCTTGAGGTCTGCAGTGAAGCGTGTACACATGTGCTGAATATGAAAACACTCTCAGTGTGTGCCCCAGTGGCGAACCGTGTCTATCACAACTGGACCTTCTGTAGACACACACACCCCCCGCCGCCACCGCCCCCCCCCCTCTGCGGCATTATAATGTCCGTCTTTCCACTGAATTGTCGTCTTGAAAAGGGTACTCACAACAACTCAGCAACAACTTCATCTTCACCTGTTGCACTTTTCATTTCAACGTTAAAAACAATAAAACGGCATGAATTGCTTCGTCGCATTCATCTAGGTCCTCTGTCTCGAGCCAGTGAACTAGCGGGCCTTCTAGAATACCCTGGAACCGAGGGGAACTCTGAAAGAACACGCCCATTGGCTACAAATCAATATCTGATTGGTTGATCAAACTGTCAGTCCAAACGTACGCTCTCATTCAGTGCAACGGCCAGGGCCTTCGATCAAGGATGTAGAATACCTTGTTGAAGGATATTCTACCCAGAGATCCAGAACAAGATCTGATTGGTTGCTTTCTTTCTAACACAAAACCACTGAAATGCGTAGTGCGTGGTCCGAGAAGGACAAACAAATCAACGTAACACTGTAATATTGCAGATCAACAACACAGATACGATTCTCATTTATTCATTTTATATACATTTTATTTATATAATTAAATCGATTTTTTGTTTGTTTTATCTGAGTGTTCCGGGGTATTCTCTGAATACCTTGAAGGCCCTGACGGTTCGCCACTGGTGTGCCCACTGTGAAGGATAAACAACCTGTGGCCGCCGAGCCAGTCATGTGGATGTCAGTTTTACACACATTCTGAGGCCGCCGTGCCTATGTTTTCACTGCTAGTTTATGCTTATGTTGAATTAGTGCATTCAAAAATAAATAAAATCATTAATGAAGTTTCAGCTCAGACCCCACGCTTAATAAGTTTCCCCCTGGCCCACCTACATTTCTCCAGGCCCACCCACACAATAATTCCTGGCTACGCCACTGCCCACAAGTACCATACATACTGCAAGAAGAAATCTAAATAAAATATTGCAAGAACATGGTGCAAAGTGACATGATGGTTCAAGTAAAATGCAGAAATATGTAATTGATATGAATGTCATATATAATAAAAAATAAAAACAGGATGTAAAGTAACGAACAGTGGAATAAAATACATCATTTTCTAATAATATATAAATATGTGGACTGTAAACATGGCGGTATAAAGGATCTCAGGCAGTAGTGTCATGTTAAACAATCTGTCTAAAATTGCACACACATTTTTAATATATATTTATAATACACTGATCATTGTACACGTTTATATATTATTACAGCATTTTTCTACCGTACAGTATTTACGTACATTGTTTCATTTGACATGCATCACATGAACACAGTATATATTCCTGCAGCTCACATGCACCATTCTATCACTTGCACTATTTAAATGCACTATGTACCTCCCTATTTCTTTAGTATATCGTGTGTTGCATTGTCATTCTTGGAGGAGTCTTGAGCTTGAAACGTGCACCTTAAAAACTATCCTGGGGCTACAGTGCATATGACAATAACGCTTGTGAATCATACGAATACTTAAATACTAAATGAGTAATAATAAACCATAGCAGTTCATGTTTAAGCTACAGGGGTGCTAACATGACACTGCTAGCTGTTGCCATTATTAGCTACATTCAGAACTTATCAAAGTTGTTAGCATCATGCAGCATGTGTAAAGAAAACTGGAAAACCCCTTTCATTCCTATGAGAGTGGCTCGTGGCGCATGAAGACAAAATTGAGCCGCTGTATATTCAGAAAGTACCCGTATGTGGGCCCAAAGAGCATGCGCAGTTGAGTTTTCTTCAGCCCTGTCTCAGTTAAATCAATATCGAGATAAAATAACTCTGGATTCAGCTTTTAGCGAATTTCTACAACCTTTATACTAATGATTTAAATAAGGGCTATACAAGAGTTCGTGCTGGCTAGTTTATTTAGCTAAAAAATAAATGATACGCTGATTTACAGACGTCTCTTTCCCCAATGTAAGTCAATGGGGACTTGTAGTACCACAATTTGGCCACTACACCCATTCATACAAATCTGCTTCAACTTCATGACAAAAAGTTAGCATCACACAGTTGGAAAGTTAGCTATAACCGCTACCTTTAAAAACAATCAGTATTAACGGGAGAGTAAGTAGAGGTTTAGAGATGCTTAAATATACAATTAAAGTTTATGGATTAGTTTCGTTTGTATATATTGTTCTGAATTACCACATAGAGATGCAATTCGTTTTTAGGCCTGCTTACCCTTGTCGCGGTTCGCCATTTTGCAGTGTCTGTGCTGCCTGTCCTCTTTCACACCCCATAATAGTTTCATCCAATCTGTCCTCAATAACTGCTGCACGTCCGGCGTCATTTGCATAATTCTGACGGTGCAAGTGAAGACAAATGCAAAGATAGAAGACAGACATGGACCATAATAAAAACAACATTAAGAAGAAGAAGAAGAAGAAAAATAATTATACAAATAATAATACCATGTATAATAATAATGTCAATTCTGTTTAAGGCAAGGCAAGTTTATTCATACAGCACATTTCAACACAACACAAAATCATCCCCAAAACACATAGCCTAAGCATAAATAAGTATTTATAAAAAAAAGCCCAACCTTTAATTGTCCTAATGTTATTTATGTGGCTTTTTTAATAACTGCTACTCGTTTTTTTAGCCATGGTTGTGTAGGCTACTTATTTGTCTTTATTTTTTATTTGATTAATTATGTATGGCTTTTCTACTTTTGTATTTATTGCTTGCCTTTGTTTACCTGTTATGCCCCTTTTGCTAACACTAATACACACATTATTATTCTGCTATGAGTATTGTGATATAGTGCAACAGAGACACTTTATAAAATGACATTTAAAATCAGTCATTAGAAAGCCAAGATAATTAAATACAATGAATACGTGGTCAAATAGAATAAAAGTGATATTAGGGTGGTGGTGGCGTAGTCCGTAGGGACTTGGCTCAGCACCTGCAAGGTCACCAGTTCAAGTCCCGGAAAGACCAAGTGCTACCGAGGTGTCCCTGAGCAAGACACTGCTCCCCGGGCGCCGTACGTAATGGCAGCCCACTGCTCCTAACACTATAGGTCAAATGCAGAGAAACCGTTGTATTACCTGTATTACGTAACGACAATAAGTTGAATCTTCTTCAATCTTCAATCTTCAATAAAATACAGGGATAACAGATACAGTGTAAGCTATGAACAGTGAATTGATTTAATCAAAAGCAGCAGCAAAAATAATAGTGCTATCACAAAACTTAATAGATAATAATGAGCAGGACAAGAGTTTAAAATGAACAAAAGTTAAAAACTCTGTGGGCAACCACAGTCCCTATTTAAAAAAAATGTATCAGTCATGCCCATTTTTCAGTGCTTTAAAGAAGCAAAGCATTGTTACTGTACATGTGCTAATGCTAACAAACAAATGTAATACTTTTTACATATATACTTATTTAACAGTGGGTGCATGATTAGGACACAATTGTGGGCCGCCAAAAATACAGCAAATATATTCAAGATTCAAAGGTTATCATAACATATACACAACTACGGTGTAATTATGTAATGTATGAAACACTTAGATCCCAGTTCCTCAACAGTGCACTTTACCCAAATAAACCAGCAGAAACCACCTTAGATAGGATTCTTGAAATAAATGCGCAGAATAGAGGAGTAATTAGGGTGTTGTGTAATACTTTCCTCCATGCATTCTCCCTCTCTTTCAACTATCAGATCTCAAGATGAGCTAGCATTTGAAATAACAGATGATGATTAGCAGTCCATCCTTCAAAGAGTTCACTCTTCCTCAATTTGTGCCAGACATGGTCTTCTCCAATTCAAGGTATTACACCGCCTTCATTTATCAAAGGAAAAAGCATAGATGTATTTATCCCCAGCTGTACAATAGCTGCCCACTGCTCCTAGTACTAGACTCCTGGTACTAGGATGGGTTAAAAGCAGAGAACACATTTCACTGTGTGCTGTGTGACCATTAAAGAGGGTTTCATCCCTCCCAATTATTTTCTATTCTATCCAGGGATATCCCTTATGCGACAGATGTAAGTCAGTATAACAGGGACTTTCTGGACATGTCCAAATCTTCATAATTATTGGACATCTATATTTGATACGTTTTCTAAAGTAAAATTACATTACACTTATTCAGTACATTTCATTTGTTAGACGCCTCTATCCAAAGCGACTTATTGTGGACAATCCCCACAGGAGCAATTTGGGGTGAAGTGTCTTATCCAGGGACACAACGACATGCTGACTGCAGAGGGACTAGAACTTGCTACCCCCTGATTCAAAGTCCAACACTCTATCCACTGAGCCACAACCGCCCCAAAAATGTACCCCTTCTCCTCTTACTGCAATTTTTGGAGTCGTCCCGGACGACATTGTGCTTTCCAGACATTATTCAAACGCTGTTGCTTTTGCTTCCCTAATTGCTAGGCGACTCTTATGAGGTGGAAGCAGGAGGCCGCGTCTCCCACTCATGAGTGACAGAACTTATGAAGTTTCTACCCATGGAGAAAATAAAGTGTACTTTGGGTGGCAACCATTTTTAACGTACATGGACATTTTTAACGTACATGGAAAGTTTGAAACTGCCTACTCTTCCCTAACTGATTCTTTATGTTATTTTACTTTTTTACATTTAAAAAAAAAACTGAATTAGAACACAGATTTTCTATAGTCAGCCATGATGACTAACATGTATCTCGACCCTGTCATGTTTTGTTGCACGTACATGCAACAAAATCTATCTATCTATCTATCTATCTATCTATCTATCTATCTATCTATCTATCTATCTATCTATCTATCTATCTATCTCGTATTTATGCAACGTTGCCACAAACATATTTGACAGCAAAGTCAAACATGACATATATTTTAACCAATGGGTAGCCTTAAAACACTGTTACGTAATCATAATACAGCGTGAGGAACCAATCACCGGTTGGAAGGCGGGTCTTAGAGAAGCCCATTTCAATGTGTGCGTGCGCGTGTTCGGAGGCGTGCTCGCAACACACAAACTGGGGAAGACGGTCACATGACTGCACACGCCGGCTGCTGATTGGCTCAGACGCGCAGAGGGCGTGTCGTACGGTGGCGGCGTGCGTTTGCCTATGTGACACAATTACAACAACTTTGAGCCGATGGTTTGGGGGAAGTTTACGATAATACCAAGTAAACACTCCCTCCTAAAAACCCAACATTACACCAACTTCATGCATACAAAGGCACTGGAATACACGCCGTGTTTTGAAGTACAATGAGGAGTGTGGAAGGTAACTTGACGGGATCATTTCCTTGAGGATTTGGACAAGAATTGGGCAAGAATTTAGTCGCTAACGCCCCGATTTGAGTCCTGGATATCCGTGCAAAACCTCTCGTTCTTAGCGCATTCTCTTGGAGTTTCTCGGTGTGGTCGATATTCCCATTTCTTCCCCATGAAATCGTGTACTGCTGCTGCTCGGAGCCTTGCTGGTAATGACGAGGAGAAAATGGCGTCGGGAACAGATATCGAAGAGGACTTTCCGAAGCTCACAGCTCAGGAGAAACAGAGCTTGCACGGCACTGACAGGTTAGATGTTGCAAAAATGTGAACTCTACAACCAGTTTTATGTGTGCATTGTGTATTTTTCTGCACACCGTTTGCAACAACCAGTATAAATGCACCCTGGAAGTAGTAATACGGAACCGCCTGTGTGTTGTCTGTCCTCTACTTGCAGTTCACTGTTTGGATTTCATAGGCTTCAAGAAGATGGCGCCAGAACGAAGGCCTTGCTGTTAAAGGTATGCAATGGAATAGGAACAAAGATGCATAAGATTCAGAGGTTTTTTATTGTCATATGCACAGTAGCTACAGTGTAGTTATTCCAATGGAAAGCTTAAGTCCCAGGCTCCTGCAACAACGCAACATAGATACATAGATATACTTTATTCATACCAAATTGGTCATGTTGTCACAGCAGCAGTGTTGTCAAGCATTACACCAGAGTTACAATATTTCCAAGGAGAGATTAGGGTACACATATAATAAAAATGAACATTGACAGCCAATGTTTAAATATTCACAGTAGAAAAGACATTTATCACTATGGTATGTCAATAAAACAGAATATAAAGGAAATACTGAATCCGTTTGAATACAATTTCACTAAGCACCAGCAATGTTTACTACAATAACACAGACATTGGGTAAAATATATATATAACAATTGTATAGTACTACATAAATATGTATAAGACATAAAACAAATGTAAGATTAATGCATATCACACCAGAAATAAGTAGCACAGACCCCTAAATGCAGCATAAATGTCCCCAACTTTGAAGCAGTATAGCAGCTTTCAGTTTTGGAAATAAGCATGATGTACACTGCTGCTAGGTATATAATTAAACAACCACAGTGCATTTTAAATCATTGGTTTCTTGGTGAAGGATTGGTCTGTAACATGATTTTGTGAGTGTGTACTTTCAGCACATGCAAGCCTACTATCCACATCATAACATACAACATATCTGTTTGTTGGATCTCTCTCCTAACATTGCATGGCACACAATAAAACATCCACTGTGTATGTATGCAATGATAGCAATAATAAAGGGGCCTAAATATTACAATCTTAGCATGATATGATCTCCACCCTGCTTAAAATCAGTGGTTGAGAGAGAATAGGTGCCCATGCTACGTGATGGCATTTAACGGACTGTTGTAAACGTGTTTGTTAAAGCATATGTTGCTATTATTCACACAATGAAAAGCAGGGTTGCACATCACTTGCTCTTTAGTCTATTAAAGGTATTGCAATGTTGTTTTATGTCATATAAATCATGTTGAAAGGGCTTGGGACTTAAGCTTCCATTGCTGTATACACTATAGCTGTGCATATGATAATTAAGCCTTTGAATCTTAAATGTTTGAATGTGTGTAGAAACATGTGTGGGCTAAACAAATTGGATGCATTAGTAGGGGAGGTTTACACATGTAACACCCTTGCTACCTGACTGTTGTACGTGATTTGCAACCGTATAATAATGAGCCCTAGGTAAAGGGTGAATGCACACTTCTTTAATTGGTGGAGGAAAGACATTACAATTGGCAGAAATGTTGGTATCCCACTTAAACAATCCGTTTCCTCCTCGATACACTGGGTTAGCATGTTAGCAGCTAACTTCCCAGCGGTTGTCTCATTACTCCTGTCGCAAATATAGCGACTATGTCACCACTTAGTTGACACTTACAAGCGGGTAGCAAGTCCTTTTTACAGGGTTTAAAAAATAAGTACTGCTTGACTTGCCCCCAGATAGCGGTGACGTGAAGAAAAAATACCTAGCTAATGTTTGCTAGCTAGTTAGCAGCGGTGGCTAAGCTAATCTTCATTCGCATAGAACCATATGATGTAGAATGCGTTCAGGGTTCGTAACAATGGCGATCGATTTATTAAACGGGACTTAACTATATGCAAAGTGTCCGGTTCCCACAGAGCAGCCGTGTGTATGTCAGCCCATGTTAGCATGCCTGTGTTTGGTGTGTGTCTGCAACATGTGGCTCCTGGGTTTCTTCCTGAAGGGTTAGCTGGTTGTTTTGTTAGGGTGTACTTTCAGATTAGGCTCAGACATGCACTCAGTAAATGCCATTTTTGTGGCAGTCCTTTGTACCTTGAAGCACATGCAGTCCTACTATCCACATCATAACATACACATGTATAATATCTCATGGATTTTTCTTCTAAAAGTGTATGTATGATGCTGTGTTAAATAGAGCCATGCACTCAGTGCCATTTTTACGTCTATCCTTCATACTTTGCTCGATGCCTGAACAGCCAATACAGGCCTATTATTATTTACATCATACAACAGTACAATTATTAATTCTAATTGTGTTATAGTCTTTCCTGGTAATAAGAAGAAGGCATACTTGATTAATTCCTGAGGGGAAATTCAGTAACAGCGCATGTATAGGGTGGCTTCACATTAAATAATGATCACTGTGTTGGAATACATTCATATTAATACCAAGTTCCCTTTACGCCCTCTTTATACTCTCCCATTGTAATATGAGGAAGGGAGAATATTAGTTTTAGTTGCTTTAGCGTGAAGCTAGTAAGCCTATTTGATTTGTTTTAGATAGGCACGACATGTTTCAGATGCAGACCTTATTTTCCTGTTCCATGTTAAAATAAACCATTTTTCAGTTGTACCGCTGAGACGGAGTAGTAGTATGTTTTGGGTCATGGAAATTAGGTAAAGGTCATGGAGAAGTCATTAAAAATCATTGGTGAAAAAGTGTATGAACCCTGTCCTCTAAACCGGCTGGTGTAGGCTGCTAGTGATCAACAACTGCTTCAGTTGCAAACACATTTCTGGCAATCAGCTTGGCTATAAACCAGCCTAACAGTCTTTTTCACGCCTAATTTGGCCATTTTCGTAGCTAAAAAAACAACACTTTCGTCTAATTGATCTCCTGATGAATTCCCTTCATGGTGTGTAATGATCCACTAAAGTTAGGAACGATACAGGATGAACAAATACCTTGTTTTTGTTAACCTTGACACCATCTGGACGTAAGGGAACAATCGATTGCGATAAAATCTTCGAAGTTTGGATGGGAAAGGGAGACACACTTGCTGGAAATCTTAATTTCACTGCAACCCTTATGCAGTCTTCTTTTTTGGAGGTTGGTGTGTTTTTGCTGCATCACACTCTGCAGTATGCTCTGCTCGGCCTGAGCTAACCCCTGTGGCACAAATGCATTCGTAGAAGAACCAGCCGGGCACAAAGCCAGCCCTACCAAAATGTGTGTAATAATGCATGCTGTTTATTGGTGTGTGACATGCATGAGGAATCGGTACGTTTGAATGTTTCATTGCTGTAGCCTTCCCATGAAGCTTGAATGTTTTATTTGGTTGGTTCTTTATTTTAGTGATTGCAAAGTCGAGGTGAACTCTGTGAACATATCATTATCCCTTTTTACTGGTTTGACCATTTTTCCTATGACATGTTCCATCAAACATTATTTTGTGGAGTCACTCACTCACTCACTCACTCACTCACTCACTCACTCACTCACTCACTCACTCACTCACTCACTCACTCATCACACAGCCACTCACTCACACATAGCCACTCACTCACTCACTCACTCACTCACTCACTCACACAGCCCACTCACTCACACAGCCACTCACACACTCACTCACTCACTCACTCACCTCACTCACTCACTCACTCACTCACCACACACTCACTCACTCACTCACTCACTCACTCACTCACTCACTCACTCACTCACTCACACAGCCACTCACTCACTCACTCACTCACTCACTCACTCACTCACTCACTCACTCACTCACTCACTCACTCACTCACTCACTCACTCACACACTGTGTAATTATTCCTCTTCAGTGTCTGCATTTTCTGAGTAATTTGTTTAGCCGTTGATAAAATACTGACTGACAAGATCATGTATCTGGGACTATGCAAAACAATCTTAGAAGGCTTGGAAAGGCCACTGTGTGTCATCACTTCCTTAGCTCTTAGCATCAAGTTATGATCTAAATGTGGTTGCCATATCAAGCCTTTATAATGTGATATTTGCATAGGATCTTTTAATCATTTAAAGGTCCCATGTCCATGGCCATTTCCACTGATCATAACTCCATTGTTGAGGTCTACTAGAATAGATTTATACTGTGCAATGTTCCAAACTCACATTGGTTTCGCATACAGCATCTCTGTAAACTACGTGTATTCACTCTCTCCACTAAACGGCTCGTTGCAGCTCTTGCCCCCCCCTCCCTGTGAGCACAGTGTGCTCCGATTGGACCAGTCGGGACGTTGTGAATCGCGCTGAGCTGCGTGGAGGTGTGATTTCCCTTGTTTAGCGATACACAGCGAAACACAGCTAAAACTCACCCCTGAGCACACACAAAGTCACAGCCGAAGTAAAAACAATAAGTGTGGCTTGATATTGAGTCAGAAAAAGGTTGATAAACGCTGTGAGAACGGGTCTGCAGAGAGAATGGGTCTGCGGAGAGAATGGGTCTGCGGAGAGAACGGGTCTGCGGAGAGAACGGGTCTGCGGAGAGAACGGGTCTGCTGGACGAGAACGGGTCTGCGGAGAGAACGGGTCTGCGGATGAGAACGGGTCTGCGGAGAGAACGGGTCTGCGGATGAGAACGGGTCTTGCAGAGAGAACGGTCTGCAGAGAGAACGGGTCTGCAGAGAGAACGGGTCTGCAGAGAGAACGGGTCTGCAGAGAGAACGGGTCTGCAGTGAGAATGTCACCGCGACCCCAACTGTCTGTTATCAGCCTGCAGCCAGGGAGGAGAGATCAGCAGATCTGCCTGCACTGAGTGTGAGGAAGTCGTGGATTGGTCAATTTGGACCAATCAGCGGGGGCGTAACATAACGGCTCCACGGATTGGTCCATTTGGTTCCGGGTAATGCATGACATCATGAGTTACCCGGAAGAATCAATGGACAGTGACGTATCTCCAACGAGGCGTTTTGGGGAGGTATTTTCTGTGTTAGAGTTTTACTCGCTACAGGGTGTACTTTGAGGGTTTTGACTCTGCACACCACATAACACACAAGGGGACGGGTAATAACCGGAAAAGCATGACATGGGACCTTTAAGAGTGTTTTTCTTTGTACTGTTGCACCCCTTAACGCCTCACTCTTATTGCTCTCTCTTCAGGCTGTTAGCTGCTATGATGCCCTCATCCTGAAAGCAGAGGGCAAAGTGGACCCGGACATTTTCTGTCAGCTGGGCCACTTCAACCTGCTGCTGGAGGACTATCAGAAAGGTGAATCTCCATGTGTAAATCCTCCTGCCTCTTGTTTCTGTACACCCCACACTTTCTTCCTAAATCTCCATCTCGGCACAATTTATTATTTCATGATGTCTTATTTGGCTTGTTTTGCCTTTGATCTTGTTTTATTGATACTGCATTCTTAGAAATTGGCAACCATTGTATCTGTTTGATTGTGTTGCACTGTTGGAGGAGCCTGTGACCTAAGATTTTAATTGTCATAACTGCACTGTAGCTATTATGACAATAAAAGCCTTGAATCTTGAATGAATCCCATTTAGTGCCCGTTATATGTGGCAACAACTTTTAACATGTTCAAAATGTTCAAGACCAAAACTACAGCCCGAAATACGTACATCAAGTATTTGTTGCATTGGTGATATTTAGGTTATAGCAGTCGGAACAGGAACCAGATAACGCTGCACTGGAATTGACAGTCAGGGTTTGGTTCAGTTGCTAGTCCTGTTATCATTAAGCCAACGTTTAATCATATCTTAATATCTAACCGTATGTTTAGTTTGGCAACCAGAACTGATGCCTGGTTGCCACCCTTTTAAAAGTTAGTGGAGGCGTGTGGTGCAGTGGGTTGAGCGTTGGTGTTCTGATCAAGGTTCAAACCCCACTGCAGTCAGCATGTCGTTGTGTCCCTGAGACACTTCACTCCAAAGTGCTCCTGTGGGGATTGCCCTCAGTATTGAGTATGTGAGTCGCTTTGGATAAAAGTGTCTAACAAGTGACATGTCATGTGATGTAGTGTTGAGACCTGTGTGATTTGAAAGTGTCCTTGTAACCCCAGCGAGATCAGGGAGCACTTTATGGAAACTAACGGATCCAAATGAAGAATAGAGTAAATAGTTGCTTGATAGTTTTTCACGAGGTGTAAGATAGTGTGTGCTGTTGTTTTACAGTCCTTATTTTGGTTAACACTGCTAAAAACCTGCCGTCAAAGCATTCATTCTGGTTGGATATTATGCCCTGAGATGAATATCTTAATCATTTAATGTTGTAACTAACTTTTCATTGTCTTGTGTTTCTCTCCTCTTTCTGTATCGCACCATTTTCTCAGCATTATCTGCATACCAGAGGTACTTCAGTTTACAGTCGGACTACTGGAAGGTGAGCTTTCACAATTCTACATACAACGTTGAATGTTACTGGCACTGTTTGTTGGGAAGCAACTATTATTTTCAATCATCAAAACTGTCATTTGTGTACTCTGTTGTTTACTTCACAAACCATGGCAGTTTTCACTTAAGCAGCTTGAGCCATTGGCTGAAAGTCATCGTAACCCGAGTCAACATGTTGGGTTAAAAACAAGTTATCTTCACAGTCGGACATCGTTTTATTGAAATCACAGACGCCAACACTTGCTATCCATCCCGGTGATGGTCGGTTGACCTGCAGCCATCTTCACTTTATGGTTTAGTCCAATCAAGGGAAACACAAGTTTAGATGTTAAGTGAACAAGTCGGACAGCTATGAAAAACCAAATGTTAAAGGACATTGTAAACATCTTCAGACACTCTATATACAGAAGTCATTAAATGGTTGAACTGTACATTGAATGTTGACAAAGTGGACTCTATTGAAATGTGTTGCAAAGACTGGACGAGAGTCAGTCTCTTGAATGTATTAAGGATGTTAGTCAACAGCTTATCCGGATAGAAAGTAGTTGAGGCTGTAATTGGCTCCGATGTGTTTTGGGAGAAGTTGAAGGAGAGCTGATGTTAGCTTGAAATAGTTGTTGTCGTCGATTAGGGATGCATATCGTTGACTTTTTTATGATACCGATACCACTGAACGATACCGATACTCAACCGATACATATCGTGATACTTTGAAAATGTATCATCCCACAATTACTCCCATGAAGCGCTTTACGATATAGTTGACATGTCAAATGAATATTAAATTCAATTGTGGGACTTCTTGGACCTTTTAGTTCTGAACAAACAATGAAAGATACACAACAAATATGAAGAAAACCGATTATGGAATATCTTTTATAACACATCAGGTGTGCCGCGTGAATAGCACATCTTGTCAATGCAAACAGACCGTTATAGCACCGTTACAATTAATGTTAAACCTGAGATTCGACTAGAGAACAAATACATAATAGAATAAAGGTCATGAGATCTCGGCATTGCACAAACAAACAAATAAATCTCATCTTTAAAATCAACATTGCCTTCACTGGTGAGAGAAAACAAATCACAGTTCATTTGTGGGACTTTTACCTTTCTAGTATTGAACAAACAATGAAAAATACATAAAATATGAAGAAAAACGATGCAATCTAATTTATAACACCCGCCATCACGGGCCACGGACTCACTTTAAAAATAATTTTTTATTTTTTTTTATTTTTTTTTTTTAAAGTATTGAAATCGGATCTGATTTCGGTACGGTATACCGTAGCCACCAGTAACCGGTATTTCGGTAATACCGGATACCGGTATGCATCCCTATCGTCGATACCGCAGAACCCTCAAGTCATCCAAGAGGCTGGAGAAAACACCAGTGACGTCTTTCGCTCGCAGTTTTTTACGCAAGGCTTTCAAGGCACTCCTGCAGAAACAGTGCAAAAAGACCAGGCTACGAAAACCCATTCTGTCGGATCATTTGAGACGGACTGTTGCTTTAGTGGTTGACATGGTTTTACTGTCTGAGCGTTGATTTAAAGCTACTGTTTTAGCTGAACTCCTGTAGGGTTATCGGTCACACTTCTGTCATCTGATAGCAGGTTCAAGACCTGTGTGTCTTTACGATGCCGTAAATGGGGCAGTAAAGTTAGCCATGGTACGGCCACTGCAGCCATATCCATAGTATCATGGATTTAACGCTTTGTCTGAGAAATAACATACAATCTGGTTGCCAATGTCTGGATGTATGCAGCTAGAGCTTGTAATGAGCAAGAAAAGCATCATGTGAAACATTGTTACATCATCCTCCTTTATGGGGTAATGCAGAACTTAATGAAAGGTAACATTAATGTCAGTCAGACGGTGCTTTGTTTGTTGACGTTAGCCACAGCGTTGTGCCTCACTGTAATGCCCAATTTTAGTTTTATTGAATAACAGATTTTTGGTTGTCATATCTTCCAAAATGTTATTAATTGATAAATTATTAATAATAATATTTATATAGCACTTTTCATGCAGCACGTGCAGCTCAAAGTGCTTTACAACATGGCGACGCATCACAAGTTAAAAATAAACAATTCCCCTCAGATTATTTGAGAACTTTAAAAGGTACATGCAGCTAAATATAACATTTAACGGGTTAAGAGACTCAATGATACAAGACAACTGTTTTTTTGGGGTTTTATATTGTTGCATCGATTCAAAGTGAACATATAGGTACGTACAACAGAAATAAAAAGATAATAGTAATAAAAACGTCATCATTCTAATAAAGGTTAAACAATACATATTAAGTTTTGGTTGGCCCTGATACCTTACACACCTTCAGTTAACTCAGCTATACAGCATTTAGCTTAGCTGCATCTTATATTGTGCCTATTTCAATGTTTTAGTATCATATGCAAACATATTTTCCTCAGTTTAAATGGCCCACAGTTTCTGCTCATGGCCTGGAGTGAAATGGTCCGATCAGCTGTGATGTGATGGCGTCCAGCTTGTCCTCTGCATGATCTCAGTGTGGATGAATAGGCTCGCTTTAGTTTGATGTTTCCCTGTTTGGAGTGGCCATTAGACGGAGGTGCTGAGAGCTGGATGGGATCGGACCTGACAGCTCTTCAGTGTTACAGGTTTCTACAGAGCAGAGAGGGTGCGGGCCAACCCTCGCTGGATAATGATGCTGTTTCTGGAGCAGTAGTGACGTAGAGTAGCCTGAGTTGATGGGGTTGACCAAATAAGGCTCAAGTGGGCTCCTAACGGGAAAGATGGGTCAACATAATTATGTTATCATCAAAGCATAGAGAGCTGCAGAAATGAGTCGTTTTACCACTTCAAGATCTTCTCAAAGTCATTGAATTGGTTGTTATCCTGAAATAAGGTCTGTGGTTAACACAAGATTTTATTCTACGACATAAAATATGTCAGTAAATACCCACTGGTGAATTTAGGTTGCTAACAAGAGTCTAAATGAGACGACTAAACGTCATCACGCCCAACATTAGCCACCTTTAGCTTAGCGCTGGTGACGTGAAGTAGGGGGGGCGATATGACGATATATATCGTCGAGACGATATTAGGTCTCCACGATAGGCCTTTTCAGTGATATCATATCTATCGTGATACAGAGAGTCACTCAGTCATAGTGTGAGTGCTGCGAGTGCACCAGGGTAGGATTTTCACGGCGGCCATGACGCCATGGTCATGGCCCCTCGGTCTGGCCGTGAAGCCCCGCGTGCCCCTGATACTGTTAAAACTCTGAGTTGCTTTAAAAGCGTCAGAACAGGTTTCTCAACTGCGTTATTCTGCGTTCAGAACGGACGCGATGCGAATATTCTCATCGCTCTAACCGCTGGAGTTTCACTGCGGCTGTCAGCTGTGTTTACGCCTGTCACTCAAACAGGACTTGCTGGAGAGGGGGCGGGGCTTATATCCATATAAATACTGTGGTGGAAACCAACTACGACAAAATTAACCTATGTTACCGTGATTTAATTGTAATACACGTTTCAAAATGATGCCGAAGTAACATACTGATAACGGTTAGTAAAAACCAAGCCGTCAGACAGTATTGCACTTCATTTATTGTCTTGGTTGATTCTGTTGGCTTATATTTTATTTTATCAATAAGGTATTTATATTGTTTTTCCCTTTTGAAACAGATGTTCAGTTATGCTAAAGTCTTTGATTGCACTTCAAGTCTAAAGTTTACATTTTAATTGTTTGGCACTGACTTTTCCTCATTGATGATGTTTTACTTAGTTATGTTTTACTCTCCTTTTCATGTTTATTGATGTTACATCACTGCTAGTGCTACCTAAAACAGAAAGTGAATTTTTATACTGAGAAACTGTGCCTTGAATATTTTATTTTATTTAGCAAGAGAGTGCACTTTACTTGGTGAAGAAACCAGTGTTAACGTTTGTTGTAGGGTGTAGGCCTACCTACTTGAACACTGAGGAAGCCATATCAAAATTCCTGTTGAATTGTTCATTCAGGGATTCATTGCAGAATTAAAACCAGCTTGAAATGGTATTTTGGTCTGTGACTCCTTTCTGTTTTAGTTTAGTTACCTTGTAGGTGCTTGTTAAGTAACTTGAAAAATAACCATAATAACCGACATGAAAGAATATCGTGATAAATATCGTCTATCGCGATACTGCTTGAAAAATATCGTGATATTATATTTTTCATTGTCGCCCACCCCTAACGTGAAGTCATATGACCGTGCTTTGTAGTTCCGTTATAGCCCAACATTAGCCACCTTTAGCTTAGCAGTGGTGACGTGAAGTAATGTGACCGTGCTGTAGTTCCTTTATAGCCACATTAGCCCTTTAGCTTAGCGGTGGTGACGTGAAGTCATGTGACCGTGCTTGTAGTTCCTTTATAGCCCAACATTAGCCACCTTTAGCTTAGCGGTGGTGCCGTGAAGTCATGTGACCGTGCTGTAGTTCCTTTATAGCCCACATTAGCCACCTTTAGCTTAGCAGTGGTGAACGTAAGTTGTGAGTGCTGTAGTTCCTTTATAGCCCAACATTAGCCACCTTTAGCTTAGCGGTGGTGACGTGAAGTCATGTGACCGTGCTGTAGTCCTTTATAGCCCAACATTAGCCACCTTTAGCTTAGCGGTGGTGACGTGAAGTCATGTGAGTGCTGTAGTTCCGTTATAGCCCAACATTAGCCGCCTTTAGCTTAGCGGTGGTGACGTGAAGTCATGTGACCGTGCTGTAGTTCCTTTATAGCCCAACATTAGCCTCCTTTAGCTTAGCGGTGGTGACGTGAAGTCATGTGACCGTGCTGTAGTTCCTTTATAGCCCAACATTATACCTTTAGCTTAGCGGTGGTGACGTGAAGTCATGTGACCGTGCTGTAGTTCCTTTATAGCCCAACATTAGCCGCCTTTAGCTTAGCGGTGGTGACGTGAAGTCATGTGACCGTGTAGTCCTTTATAGCCCAACATTAGCCTCCTTTAGCTTATCGGGTGGTGACGTGAAGTCATGTGACCGTGCTGTAGTTCCTTTAT